GCAGGAAGCCTGCTTCTCCCTCTGCCACTCCCCCAGCTAGTGCTCTCTCGCTCGCTTGCTCTCTCAAATAAATATAATCTTTCATTTTAAAAAAGGAAAGAAAATAATACCGATTTATGAGAAAAATCAGTCTCACTGCCTTAGGGCACTAGGTTTCGGGGAGGTTTGTGACCCCGAAGTGGATATAACTGGACCGCTCTCCGGGGAGGCTCTCATCGGATGAGTAAGGACGAGCAAGGACCGGGCTTCAGAATCGCCTGCGGGGCCTTCTCTAGCGCCCACTCTTTATCCCTCTGCCCCCCTCCCCCGTTCTCTTCCACTGTTTTAGGGCCTGAGTTGGGGGGGGCGGTGAGGACAGCCGCAGCAATAGCGACTCTGAGGTGGGTTAGGAAATGCCACAGGCAGTTCAGATATGCCCTCCCGCCCCCTAGCTGAGATCACCAGACCTGTTCTGTCCAGTACAGTAGTCATTAGCCACATGCGGCTCTTCAAATTCAATTTAATTCAAATAAAATACTCAGGAGTGCTTCAGGCTCAGTAATTAAATTTCAGGTGCTCAATCGGCGCGGGCAGCCAGTGGTAGCCGCCGTCCTGGGCAGTGCGGCCGCGAACGTTCCACCACGGAGAGCCCTGTTGGGCCGTGCTGCACTTGAACTTCACGGGCCCGGAGCGGCCGGAGGGCCGGCGAGCGCAGCATCTCCTGGGAAGGCCTTGGCCACTGATCTCAGGCTCCGCCCAGACTTGGCGCGTCAGAGGCTTTAGGTGATCTGGAGGCGCGCAGCGCTGGGCGGAGCCTCACAACCTTGGCTGCACACCCAAAGCACGTGGGAAGCTTTTTTTAAAAAGCTCCACGCTGTAGGGGCGCAGGGGTGGCTCAGTCGGTTAGGCGTTTGCCTTCCGCTCAGGTCATGATCCTAGAGTCCTGCGTCGGGTTCCCTGCTTTAGCAGGGAGCCTGCTTCTCCCTCTGCCCCTACCCCTGCTTGTGCTCTCGCTCGCTCTCTCTCTTTCTCTCTCTCTCTGGCAATGAATAAAATCTTTTAAAAAAAACAAAACAAAACAAAAAAGAATAAAAGCGTGACGCTGTAGCCACACCCCAGACCAAGACAATCAGAGTCTCCCAGGAGGTGGGACCCAGGCAGCAGTCTTAGGGACTTCCGGGTGATTCCAAGAACCACTGCTCTAGTCTACCTCCTGGGGGAGTCCCACAGCTTCTGCCCTGTCCTGGGCACTTGGGTTCTCTAACTAGCGCCACCATTTGAGGAATCACCTTTTCTGAATGGTTCCTACCAGTCACCTGTCTTCTAGCCATGAGTTGCTGGGTTAACACTTCACGAGTGCTGGACCAAGTAGTTTTCTCCCTTGGAACTTCGGGGCTGAGGCTGAATGACTGCCTGGATGACTGAATCTGTTAGATGTACAAGTTAGGAGCTCTCAGTGACCCCACTCCCATCACATGGACCAGAGAAGTGGAAGAAGCAGCCAGCAGAGAGGAGCACTGGAGAGACCATTTCTGATGGTATTTGAGTCCCTGGTTCTAGTTCCTTCCTGATGCCCAGATTCACTCCTGTCCTTGGGTTCTTGTGTCCTTATAATACATTTCCCTTTGGGCTTAAAAAAAAAAAAAGAAGTTCAGCTTCAGCAGATAAAGGAGCATGCAGTCAACCTTGAGCTTCTTCTGACTAGATGGAATTAAACTATGTTCCCTGCTCTTGTGTTCTCTGAAAAGCACAACCGCAGGTGGTTAGGAGCAGAGAAGCAGACAGCAGATAGCGGGAATACACTTGGAAACTGAGGCTTTAGAAGGGTTTGAGTAGCCCATCTGAGATGACCAACCGTTCCAATTGTGTCTGGATGATCCTCGTTTTAGGTATGTATGTATATATGTATTTTTTTTTTTTTTTAGATTTTATTTATTTGAGAGAGAGAGCATGAATGGGGGTGGGAGGGGTGGAGGGAGAGGGAGAAGCAGGCTCCCTGCCTAGCGGGTAGCCCCATGCAGGGCTCCATCCCGGGACTCCAGGACCATGACTGAGCCGAAGGCAGACGCTTAACCAACTGAGCCACCCAGGTGCCCCTGTATGTATTTATGTATGTAATGTAAGCTCTGGGCCCAAAGTGGGGCTTGAACTCACAACTCCAAGATCAGGAGTGGCATACTCTACCGATTGAGCCAGACAGGCACCCCAGGACCATCTTGGTTTTAGCACTAGAAGTGCCACATCCCAGAAAACCCTTTAATTCTGGGCTAATTGAGAAAGTTGGTCAATGTCATCCAAAGTCACAACACTCAAGTGCCGGAGCTAAATCGGAGCCCAGATCTGACCATCTCCAACCTCCCCCTCCTGCTGAATGAATGACTTACTGAGTAGGTCAATCACAGGAAACAGCCAGAGCTTAAACAAGAGAGTCCAGGTACTTCCTGTTGCTCTTCCCTTCACCCTTGCCCACCTGCAGCAGGACCTACCCTGCTGACTCCCCCCCCCCCACCCTTCCCAGGGCCATCTTGCTGCCAGCATGGAATAAAGACAGGGCTGAGCTCAGGAGCATTTCATCACTGCTCAGGGCCTGCCGGATGTCACCTACCAGCTGCTCAGGATCCAAGAGTCAGAGATTCCAACCTTGAGAGCTGTGAAAAATGACAAGAATGGGGGTGCCTGCCTGACTCAGTCAGAGGAGCATGTGACTCTTGATCTCAGGGTCACGAGTTCAAGCCCCATGTTGGGTGTAGAGAACACTTAAATAAATAAACTTAAAAAATGATAAAAATGAATTAGAAAGGTCCCAAGTGCCACCTCTTTGGGGGAAATCTAGGAAGGTGGAAAGAATCTGGGTTTTGGAACCAGTCAGCCCTGGGATCAAATGTGAGATTCCTGGCTCAACAGCTGTGAGACCCTTGGCAATCTATTTGATTTCCATTTTTCACGAATTCCCAACTTGAAGGGCTATTAGGGGGTAACAGCAGATAGTTTATGTAAAGCACCTCATAAAGTAGGCAGTCAGCACTTCTGGCCCCTTCCATCTTGATCCAGCATTGCTTCTCATCTCTGAAAGACCATCTGCCCCTTCACAACAGGAACCCACCTTAAATCTCATTGCGACTCACGCTTGCTCTACACTGACCATCAGATTCCCCAGACTCTGAGCCTCCCCTTTCCCCCACTCCACCTGCCAATCCATCCTACTGATACTTCTTTTCTTGGAGACCACATCCTGGAGTCCCTCCCTGACCAGCCCTCCCTTATCTCAGTCCACTTCCTCTATAACCTTGACTCTGTGGTGTATTGCTCCAACCACCCTGTCTCTGGCACTTGCCAGCCTTGTCCTCTGCCACACCTTCCTCATAAAGCTTCTGCCTTGGAACCCCTACGACCACTTTCCTTTCATCCTGGTACCAGGTTTGTGAGCCCCGTTGGAGAAAATCACACAGCTCACCACACGTAGTGCCCCTAACTCTACCTGGTTATCCACAATGTCATGTGGATCTGGGCAATGCTCTTTCTTTCCCTTTCCTACAGTTGCTCTTCCAGACCTCTCACAGCTTCCCTAAGCGGCTTTGCCCAACCTCAACTCTTGCCATCAGTGGATCTGCTTTCTCTCTCTTGTGCAGAAAGGTGACGCCTTCAGGCAGGAGCTCCAGCTCTCTTCCTTGTTCATTCCTCAGCCTCTGAGAGTAGGGTTGGCCCCTTTGGCTCCTTATCCCCGCCCCCAAACGGATAGATTAGCAGTCATGAAAACCATGCTCGCTCTTGGCTCTGTTCATGGCTTGCCTGGGGATTCTTAACAGGCTTCATGCAGTCCCTGTGAGCCCGGTCTGCTGGGACACTTTCTTCCACAGTGAAGGACGATGTGTCCCACTTTGTCCCCTGCGCTGGTTTTCCTACCTTGTTTCAATGTCTCCACTCCTCCAGTGCCACTGCTCCTGGCCCATGCGCCTTCTATGTGCCTAGCAATTTACTAAGAACATTTCTTTTCTTTTTGTAGGTAATCTCTACCCAACAAAGGGCTCGAAGTCACAACCCCGAGATGCTGCACTGGCTGAGCCAGCCAGGTGCCCCTGACTAAGCACATTTGTATGTCTCATTTAATCCTCTAAATTACCCCTGCAGTGGATCTTATCCTTCCTTCTCTAATGAGGAAACTGAGATTCGGAGACTTTTAAGTAATTTGCCCAAGGAAAGGGGCAGAGCCAGACCTCAGCCTGCTTCTCTCTTTTCACTGCGCAATCCTGGCCTCTGTGACCATGGTTTGCGGCCCCAGACAGGATACTTGTCCCCTCCTCCGTGCTTGACCAGACCCCTCTGTGTCTGGCTATGCTCATCCATGGCATTCTGAAGACCAGTTTGATCAGGTTTGGCCCTCACTAGGGTGTGAGCCCCTCTAGGGCAGGATACGTCGTTTCCATTTCCCATGCCTGCTCAGTAAGTGCTTTCAATGATGTTCAGTTCAAGCTATCTTGCCCTGCGTATCAGTGTTCTCTGCTTGGTTGACCATTTTGCCCTTATTCTTTTATCAGCTGAGTGGACAGGAAAAGGTGATGATGGTAGAGGAGACACAGGACATCTCATAACCTTGATGTGATAGGGCCTGAGTTGGGAAGCACTAAAATCAGCAAGTCTGGCCTCAGGCGGACAAGCACGGGGCTTTGAGGCTTTAGTTTGTCTGCAGCGTATTGAAGTATTGAATCGGGAAAAGAAAAGAACAAGACTGAAGCGTATGAATGGAATGCAAGGAATATACGATTTAGGTTTATAACTAAAAACATGAGGGATAAAAATAAATAAGTCAAACGTGCAGGGTAATTAGGAATTTTATGATTTTCTTATTTCCACAGGATGGAGCCACTCCTTAGACCATGAGAAACAGAAGTATTTCCTTGGCATTCAGCTTGCACCAGGCAGTGTTCTGGAACTTTACCTACATGAACGATTTCAGAACCACAGCAACCCTCAGAGGCAGGCACAATTTTTATCGCCTTTTTGTCTGTGTTTGTTTTTTTCAGATGAGAAAACAAGCAGAGAGAAGTAAAATAACTGGCCCCAGGCATCCGGCTTCTGAGGGGTCCAGCCTGTCTGTGCCCATCCCCAGCACATCATACCACCCATCTTCATGCATTTGCAGAACACATCAAGGGCAAGAGCACAAGACCGAGCCTCATGAGATATATGAGGGAAACGAAATCCGCTCATATTGTCAGATGAATTCTTCCCGACACAGCAAGAATGACTGCATCCTGGTGGAATGACCTCTCCTCATTCCCACTGTGATATTGTTGTATCAATATTTGATATTGTTAATTTGTTATATGTTCTGGATGGTGATTACTCTTGGTGAGGAGGAAAACAAATACAGGAAACAAAGGAAAACACAAAGGGTTGCAATTGATCAAGCCAGTCAGTAAGAGGTATGGAGGCTGAAGGCAAAAACACAGAGGTTAGAGGCTCCTGGCTGGCGTGACTCGATCTTGGGGTTGTAGTTAGAGCCCCATGTTGGGTGTAAAGATTACTTAAAAATAAAATCTTTTTTTCTGGGGCACCTGGGCGGCTCAGTCATTAAGCGTCTACCTTTGGCTCGGGTCATGGTCCCGGGGTCCTGGGATTGAGCCCCACGTCGGGCTCTCTGCTCGGTTGGGAGTCTGCTTCTCCCTTTCCTACTCCCCTGCTTGTGTTCCCTCTCTCACTGTGTTTCTCTCTGACAAATAAATAAATAAAATCTTTAAAAAAATTATCATTTTTTTTGCTTTTTTAAAAGAGAGAAAGCACGAGCTGGGTGGAGAGGGGCAGAGGGAAAGGGACAGAGAGAATCCAAGCAGGCTCCATGCCCAGTGTGGAGCCCGATGTGGGGCTCAGTCCCATAACCTTGAGATCATGACCTGAGCTGAAACCAAGTAGGATGTTCAAACAACTGAGCCACCCAAGCGCCCCTTAAAAATAAAATATTAAAAACAAAAAACATGGGGTGCCTGGGTGACTCAGTTGGTTAAGTGTCTGCCTTCGGTTGAGGTCATGATCCCGGGGTCCTGGGATCAAGCCCCACGTCAGACTCCCTGCTCAGCGGGGAGTCTGCTTCTCCCTCCCACTCTATCTCTGTGTTCTCTCTCTCTCACTCACGGTCTCTTTCAAATAAATAAAATCTTAAACAAAACAAAACAAAACAAAAACCAAACAACAAAAAAAAGCATACACACAGATTAAAAAAAGAATTACCATGTAATCATAGCTCAATAAAAGGAAATTAAAAACAGATTCCCAAGTGACTTTGAGTTGTTCAAGTCAGCTTACAGAAAATTCTGTCTTTGAGGGGCACCTGCCTGTCTCAGTCGGAAGAGCATGTGACTCTTGATCTCAGGATCCTGAGTTCAAGGCCCGTGTAGGATGTAGAGATGACTAAAAAAATACACTTAAAAAATTTTTCTTTCTTCAAATCTTATGATGCATTTGATAAAGAGCTCCAGGATCTGAACTAAGTTAAACCATAAAATAAAGCTAACTACAGATGAGAAAGACAAGGGTTGCCCTCATCAACTTTATCTGAAAAAGATATAAAAAGAAAGGCCATGGGACACCTGGTTGGCTCAGGTGATTAAGTGTCTGCCTTCGGCTCAGGTCATGATACCAGAGAGTCCCTGATTTGAGCCCCAAGTCGGGCTCCTTGCTCAGCGGGGAGCCAGTTTCCCCCTACTTGTGCTCTCTCTCTCTCTCTCTCTCTCTCTCTGCCAAATAAATAAATAAACTCTTAAAAAAAAAGGGCCAAGGAAGAGGAGAGAGACAAACAATAGTGAGAGAGGAGACAGGAAAGAGAGACAGTTTGGGGGAGGAGGGGAGACAAAGAGAAGAGGCAGAAGGAAAAAGGCACGGAGAGAGGGAATATGAAGAAAAATCCTCAGAACAGATGAGGGAGAATTAGAGAGAAAAAAAAATAAACGTTTATTCTGTACTTATGTGTGCCAGATCCGTGCCAGGGGCTTGTCACAATTGGTTGGTCTCATCTCCTATAGCAGATGAACAAACTGAAGCTCCAAAGGTCATGGAATGAGTAAGGGCAGGAGCCAAGCTTTAAGACTTGTCTCTTTCTAATAATAAGTGACTTCTTTACATTCACCCAGCTACTGAGTGTCGGATGGAGGACCTCAACCCGAAATTCTATCTTTATGTCCAGTATTCTACCGAACACAGAATTTTGCCAGAAGATTCAGAAATAAAAAACAAGAGAACCCAAATATAAGCCTGCCAAAAGAGAGACATAGGCATGAAAAGACAAAGGAGGAGCATTTAATAGAATTCTCTCTGTAGCCAGGGCATCTGAGCGTCATTTCTGGGGCGCCTGCTCTGTGCCAGGTGCGGAGCAGGAACCTTGGAATGGGCTCCAGGTTTAGTAGCGGAGGCTTCTGTGTAAACAGATAAATAACAGCGCAGGGTAATGGGAGCCGGGCTGGTGCTACATGTAGGAAGCACAGCTGGAGGCCAAAGAAAGGAATTCTGTTTGTAGTGGAGGGGCTGGGGAGGTGCCACCTGTGATAAAAGGCTCGGTGAGGGGTGTGGGGTGGCGGGGGGGGGGGTTGGTGTGTGGCTGAATGTCTTGAGGGTAGAAGGGAGAACATTTAGGCAACAGGAGTGGCAAGAGTAAACCGCGTGCCCCTGTGGGGGCTGGCATGTGGGGCACTGGGGGCAGGAGGGTGGGGAGTGGAGGGACCCTCTCTGCCACTTTAGTGGGGTCACTTCTCTCGCGAGACTTCAGTTTCCTCCCTGGAACAGTGAAGGATGAACAGAAATGTTCATTTTGCTTTTGTAGTAAAACCCTTTGTTCAAATGAAGCCAGCTGGGAGACACAAGGCATACATGAGGAGAGAGAGAATTTGTTTTCTGAACAGGAAAACAGATCTGCCATTGTCTGGAAACACCTTTTGGAAAATCAGAGATCGGAGTGAGGGGGCAGATTCTCACCCCCCCATCGGCACCCTATCCCTC